GTTTTAGAGTACCCCTGGAAAAAAAAAAAAAAAAAAAAAAAAAAAAAAAAAAAAGGAAGGAAGGCAGGCGGGCTGGAGATGCAGCTAGTGGTAGTGGGCCCTGGGTTTGACAAATGAAAGGGAATCTGGCTGACTTGCCATGGCTTTTTAGCAAGAACCAAAAACAAACTTTGTAACTTTGTTTGATTCAGCCACTAAGATATGGGTATGTTCATTACTGCAGCAAAACCTGACTGATACACAGTATACACTAAGGGGTGTGGCTCAGCAGGAGCACTTGCCTAGCATGTGTGAGGCCCTGGCTGCCATCCCAGCACTGCAAACAACAGAAAGATCCCATCACCTACTGACATCAGAGGCTTGCCTAAATATACCGTTTACAGAACAAGCTCACCTAACGATGCAGGTGAGCCATCATTAGGTAGCACATGACTGTATTTCTTTTCTTTCTTCTCCCTTTCCTTCTTTTTCTCTTTCTCCCTCCCTTCAAGCAAACACGGGGCGGCGGGGGGGGGGATGTAAGTTACTACATTCCATGCACTGTTTTAATAAGGTATGCAACATCCCTAGCTAGAAATACCATGTGCAATTACACAGGTTGTGCACAGCACAAAACCAGTAGACCAAGGTGACAAAGAACCAAACGGCACCCTGTGCTCTGCCTGCCAATCTCGGTTCCCTGGGTTGTGATGTATCTGCAGGAGGAAGGGTATCTACGCTAGCTGGAGCCGTGAGTCCACTCTTCAGAAATACCCAGACCCAAGACAGAGACTAGCGGTGAGCCAGTGAAGGTTTAAATTTCTAATGTCATTTCTACTGGAGCTATGACGACAAGAAAGCAAGACAAACTGGTTGAGGTGGCGCACGCCTATCACCCGAGCACTCAGGAGCCTGAGGCAGGAGGATCACCAGGAGTTCCAGGCTGGCTACGTAGTGAGCTACACAGTGAGACCCTGTCTCAAAAAACAAATAAAATAAAATGATGCAAGACTAGTTCTACAGAATGGTCAGGGACAGCTCTCTGGTCTTGGAGACCTGAGCGACAAAAAGAATCTGCACAGGGATATGGGGCGCGAAGGTTCCAGGCAGAGGAACAGTGGGCGCAAAGGCCCTCAGTGGGGACTCACTTGGCAGATCTGAGGAGCGATGAGGAAGCCCTGTGGGGTGAGCAGAGGAGAGGGGGTGAAGCTTTCAGCACCTTGGCTTTTACCCCCAGGAGATGGGAGCCATGGAGGGTTTGTACCATGCCCAGCTGTGCCCTAATTCTGCTCTTGGATCAAATATTATTATTTTTGTTTTTTCTGTTTTTATTGAAATGGGGTCTCACTATGCAGCCCAGGCTAGCCTCAAACTCCAGGCAATTCTCCTGCCTCAGCCTCCTGAGTGCTGGGATGACAGGCCTGCACCACCACGGATCAAATTACAACCATGTTTTCCTGTGCAAAAGGTGCTCCCTGTATTCTCTTATCAGATTCTCTTCCAGGGCACCTTGGATTCCACAGAGCCCAGGAGGCTTCATCGTCCAAGGCGCCCACCAGAGCATCCCTGTATCCGTTCACTGACTCTCACCTGGCGTGCGTGTTGGCTCCTCAGAGGCCTGGATCTGTCCTCTTGTCACGGTTCAGGTTGAGACAGAGGCAACAACCAAAAAGCCTGTGAAACGCAATCCGTGTCCTCTCCTCTGCTCGGCCGAGCAGGGCACTTGCGCCCTTTCAGTAAATGTCCTAAGCCATCCACCTGCCCAGCCCATCAGTCACCAAGGCCAGGATGCCCAGTTCCCAGGACCCCAAATGCTGTGTCACCTCCCTCCCTGCCCCAGCTCAGGTCCATGCCCAGCTTTGGCCTGTCTTTCGGTCTCTGCAGTGAGGTGAGGGGTGATCGTTGCGGATCTGAACCCCAGTCCTGGCACTTACCCGCTGCGTGGCTGTGGGGAGCACAGGTCACTTCATGGGCCTCAGTGTCCTCATCTGAAAAACGGGCAGAGTCTCTGTTGCTCAGGCTGCTCACAGGACGCCAGAGAGATCTTGGGGCACGGAGACCTGCCTAGCACCTTAACTCACCACTGAGGGGGTCACGTGTTATTGTCATCCTCATGGTCACCTCACAAGTGCTGCAGAAGGAACCCAGGGCACATGCTAGGTAAGCCCTGTGCAACTGAGCTGCACGCACTCTGTCATTATCGTTTTAGTTTCTGCAGTACTGGGGATGAAACCCAGTGCTTCTTCATTTAGCTGCATCTCCCCAGCACCCTTTTTATAATTTTTTATTTTGGGACAGGGTCTTGCTATATTGCTTAGGTCGTGCCACTGTACCTGGCTCTTCTGTTTTTTGAGATAGGGTCTTTCTATGTAGTTTGGGCCTTAAACTCATTATGTAACCCAGGCTGGTCTCAAATTCACAGCAATCCTCCTGCTTCAGCCTTCCCAGTGCTGAGACAACAGGCATGCATCACCACACCCGCTGCCTGACTCTGTCACTATGGTTACATCCATCCTGGTGTCTCTTCACCCTGTTCCATCCAGGAGCATCCCAGTCCTGTCTGCCTGCCAAGCCCTGCTTCAAGACACCTCCTCTGGGCAGCCTTCCTGGCTTGCCCCAGCCTGTTGGAAAGGCCCTTATGCGCCAGGCGGCTCAGGCCCATGAACTTAATTACACACTGCCCTAGCAGAACTCCTGTCTTCCAGCCTCCAGGCTGTTATTTAACTTTGTGTCTCTATTTTAAAATGTAAACCAGATGACATTGCTCTTCTGCCTCAAATCTTACAACGGGATCCACCTTACAGGGGAAAAACCCAGCCCCACTTACTGTGATCCATGGGTTTTTATAGAATCACCACTTGGGCTTCCCCGCCAGTCCTGGCTCATGATTCTAAGATCAGTCCAGCCTGTGCAGCTCCATGGGGCTGGCTCCTTTATATCATTGAGGCCCAGACATCCTAAGTCACCCTCTTCAGGAGCACCCCTGGTCCACAGCTATACCACTCCTCATATTTTACCCATAACAATCTAAAATTATCTCCTTTATCTTCTCCTTGTTTGTTCCCTGTCCTACTCCCCAGCAAAATGCCAGCTCCCCCAACTGCAGAGATTCTTCCTCTCCCTTTGGAGACAAGGTCTTGTTTTGTAGTCCAGGCTGGCCTTGAACTCACTATGTAGTCCAGGCTGGCCTCAAACTATCGGGGATTCTCCTGACTCAGCTTCCTGAGTACTGGGATTACAGCTGTGCACCACTACATTGAACTCAAAGCAGGAAATTTTGTCTTTCTCCCTATTATATGCTTGGTATCAAACAGTGCCTGGCACACAGTAAGTACTCAATAAGTGTCTTCTGGAGCCAGGCGTGGTGGTACATGCCTGTAATCCCAGTACTCGGGGGGCTGAGGCAGGAGAATCGCTATGAGTTCGAGACCAGCCTCGGCTACACAGTGAGTTCCAGGTCAGTCTCAGCTACATAGTGAGACCCTGTCTCCAAAACCAAAACAAAACAAAACAAAAAAAACCAACCAAAAAATAAAAATAAATGTCTGCTGGAGCTGGGAACAGCGCTCAGTGGCAGAGCATCTGCCTACCATGCAGGAAGCTCTGGGTTCCATCCCCACAGCAGCAGAAAAAGCGAGCTGTAGAATGAATGAAGGCATTTTATACCCTCATCTGCCTGCTCTCTGACCCTTCATCTTGCTGATGTTGCCTCTCCACTTTGCCTGCTCAGGGATGGAAAGCAGTTTGCCAGACCCGAAGTGCTGGGTGAGACTCCAGCACCTGCAGCATCTCCTTCCTGGGAAAGGCCTGCCTCTTAGCAACACCAAGTGGGAAGCAGGAAGTAGGGACGGGGGTTCCCAGGAGCTCACGAAGCTGGGCAGGTGCATACCACACCCTGAAGTGTACTTCTTTGCCGAGAAGACAGGCAGGAGGCCTCTGATTCACTCTTGAAAAACCGGCTTGGGCCGAGTTTCTGGGGAGAACGCCCACAACCTTCGGGCTGGCAGACCTAAGACCCCGGCACCCTGGCTTCCTGCCCACTTTGCCCACAGATGCCACTCGCTTCTCACGACCCAGGCCCTCGGCCGCACCTCTCAGCTCGGGGCAGGTAGGACAGGCAGCTTCCGGTTAGGGTGACCGGTACGTGGTGACCTCCAGGTGGGAAGCAGGCAAATACCAAGAGGTGTGACCCAGATGTGGGTGGAGCACCGGGGAGGAGCATAGGGCCCCGCAGGACACCTGCGCCTCGGCAGGCGACTGGTTCAGTGGCGGAGACTCCAGCTCCGGACCCTAAGGTGCGGGTTCGAGTCCCGGGTTGGGCTAGTCCCCTCTCTCTAGCCTCAGTGCCTCCCTCGAGCAGAGGTTAGTGGCCTCTGTGTGAGGTGTTTTGACCCACAGACCCGCACTGTAAAGGCCTGACAAGGGAGCTCCGCGGTCCTCACCGCAGTCCCCCAGCCAACGCGCTGTCCCAGACGGCGGGGGGGGTACCCATTCTGCCGGGAGGGTGCTCGCGCATTCCCACGCGCAGCCTGGAGTTCCAGCAGCAGCCCCACCCAGAACAATCAGCCGATCCTCGAGGTCCGAACCCCCAGGGTGCACGCCGGGCCTCCCCCAGGGACACAGATACTCACCTGAGTCGTCTCCTGCCTC